GAGAGAGAGAGAGAGAGAGAGAGAAAATATAGATTGAAAATGAATTAGGGTTTGAAAAATTAGTATTATAATATTATTTAAATATTTAATTCATACCTGATTTTTTATTAGATAAATCTTGGACCTGAATTTTGAATTTGAAAGTTTATACCACTGATTTTTTGTAATTTCCTCTAAGATGTGACCTATGGTCCATCATATGATTGGGCTACACCATCTATCTGTCCTGAGCTTAGGCCCATGGAGTTGTGCTTCTAATAGTTCTAATTAAGGGTGAAAACAGGCCCTTTAAATCGATTTTAGGAAGCCATATCTTTGAGTTTATATGGACCCGTCAATGTTTCAGATTTGAATAGAATCAAATCATTTAGAAATAGTTCAATTTAGCTGTTTGAAATCAAATAAAATATTGTTTTTATGGTTAAATTTGTATTAATTTGTATTGCTTTAAGCTTATATTGAAACCAATATTATATAAATATATGTCATAATGATGTTGAGAAAGTTCCTACCCTAGATTTTGTTGAGATTTTAAATTAATATATTTGTATTTTAGTTTGTTTGAAAGACGTTGTGTTTATGTCACTAGAAAACCCGTGTTTTGGAATCAAATCGAACCATAAAAATGGGTTATTTTGAAAAGTTAAATGGTCTAGTTTGATTTGAATATTTTTCCAAAATCCTTTAGAAGGATTTAATTTGAGAATACACAAGAAAATATGGAAATCGAACCATATTCACAAAGACCCAATAAAATAAGCACATAACTAGACCAAGACATTTTGGAGTAATTGCTTGCCATTTGTCTGTGTATATCTTTTGCTTATTTAAAAGTCATCCATATCAAGAAACCGATGCACAAATTTTCATTTGAAATCTGTCGAGATTCTTCAATAAACCGGAGAATAACTATATGGAGCCATGCTTAAATCAACTAGATTAAGGATTACAAAAAATATTTGTTGTTTGAGGGATACTATATAGTACTTAAAGTTGTCGATTATTGATCATATCCTTGAAGCGTTGATCGGATTCTTGTCTTTGTAACCTCATGTTATCGTTAAAGCTTTTGATGAATGCCTCGACTTTGTTGTTCAAC